TCCTTAAGTAACTCTAACCACCTCCTCTGTCTGAGATTAAGCTCTCTCTGAGTAAGCACATATTGAATGCTCTTGTGATCAGTGAATATGTCGACATGCATGTTTTATTAAAAAAAAGATATGTAAAAGGAAACTGACTGAGTTTTCGAAAAATCGATTAAACTTATGATTTAAAAGAAATAGAATTTTCAAAAGAACAGAGTTGCCACTTAATTTATAGTAAAAAATCAAGAAAAAATACAAGATTTTTCAAAAAGACTTTAAACAAAATAAAATCAATTGAAAAAGGGTTCGAGTTCAAATGTACATTTCGAGAAGGTGTTAGGCCCTCGGAATGCCCGCTAACTTGCGGTTGACCGACGATTTGACCAAAATGATTTTGACTAATTTTTAAATTTTAATTTAAGTAAAAGAATTCATTTATTTAACTAATTATTTGAAATTTTAACTAAGTAAATAACTCATTTATTTTAACTAATTTTTTAAATTTTTATTAGGTAAAAAAGAAAAAGAATAAAAAACTCATTTATTTTAACTTATCTATTTATTACTATTATTATTATTTTTATCGACATTATTTTTCATTAGTGTCATTTTAATTATCTTAAGGGGAAATGAACCAAAGGGAATTTTTTTCTAAAGGGGAATAATTAAGTATTAACAAGACTAATACTAAAATAAGAACAAAGTAATAAAATATGTATACCTTAGTTTGAAAAATAAAATGAAATGACCATTCTTGGAAATTTAATTAAATTAAACCGTAATATCAAAACAAGTAAGGTTAGTCAACACAATGATAAATAAACACAAGTGAGAAGAAAATGTCAAATTTTGGCCCTTTGCCCAAATTCAAATTCTTGGCCCAAACCTATCCTAAATTCTAAGAGTGGGCCTGCTGATGGGTTTCAGCCCATTTTTGCCCCTTTGTACACTTGAAATTCTGTGTATACATTTGGTGTATACCGCTGTATATAAGCCATGTTTTGACCCGTTTTCGTGTATATCAGACTGTATATGGAGTGTATACAGTCTATTTTGACCCCTGCAGCCTGCACTTCATTTTTTTGAACCTGTGTGTCGATATTTTTGCCATGTATATCAGTGTATACGGCTGTATACAGTGTATATTGGCCTGTACACCATTCCGTTTTTGACTTCCTTGCCCTGTAACTTTGATTTTCAGCCTTGTATATTACTTCGAGAAACCCGGCTAATACCCTCGCAACCCACAAAGAAACGAGAAGAAGAAATATGTATCTAAAGTATATATTATTATTATTATTATTATTATTCTTTTGGACGATTCTTACAGCTTTGGAAGAGTTTTTTTATACGATTTCTTGTCAATTTTCTCCCCCCAAATTTTCTTCTTCACTTTTCCCAAATCCGAAAATCCCCCTTTTACCAATGAACAGAAAGGATATTATATAGGGAGAAATTAGGGTAGATTTTGGGGGGAATTTCGAATTAAAAATTCGAATTCTTTCACTGATTCGGACAAGCACCTTTTCCTTGAGGTTTTGACTCATTCCGAAAGGGGAAAAGGGGGCAGAGCGCGTGCTAGCTGCTTCCTGCGGTGTTAGTACTAATCGAAAGGGACGTGAGGAGGAAGAAAAGTGTGCTGGAGTCGGATGGGTGTTGTTTGGGTGTTGTATCACTGCTTCTGTTTTACTGGGATGTTGCTGCTGTTCTGGAGCTACTATTGAAGTTAATTTGGATTAGGATTGGGCTGGGTTAGGGGATTAATTGGTTGGGTCGGTGGTGGGTTTCTTGTATTGTTGTATGTTTCTGGAAATTGCTGGAAAAATAAAGAGGGTGGGGTTGGTTATGCTGTACGTATGGCTGTTGCATCTGTATTGTATGTTGGCTGGAATTTTGTGTTGTGAACTGGGAATTGGGCTACTGGAAAGGGGTTGGATTTGGTCCAGAAAATGGTCTTTTAATTGGAATGTAAAAAGACCCAAAATAGAGTTGAATGAAATTGTTAGGCTTGTGACAAATGGGCTAGATTTTGCAAAT